TGTGTGTGTGTATATGTGTGTGTGTGTATATGTGTGTGTGTTTAAAACAGAAGATATATGGTAAGTTCAGAGGGGTATTTCTAATTCAAAATTTAAATTATAGAATTTTTCCTCGAACTCTTTAATTTTATATTTGTACCTCTTTTCTATTATGCTGAAAATCTTGGTTCCTAAATAACATCATTTCTTCCTTGCTATATTTTACTGTGTGTGTGTGAAATAGTTTTGGAATAATAATACTCATATTATTTTTAATGATATTTTTACTGACAATGGTTGATTTGAGTCCTTTTGTCCCCAGGATATATTCCACTCCAGATATACAGTTAAATTAATGTTTTAAAAGTGATTTGAAAGAATTTCTCTTTGTTTCCAACTTGATGCACAATTAGGTTTCCTTGTTTCATGTTTCTCTCTGGGTTCTGGAATTATTTTCATTTTTGAATTAATTATGTTTTGTAACATGCAAGACATTTTCACTGCTCAGAAGTCAGATGTCCAGAAAAGTTACTTTCCAAGAAGTCTAGCCTCTGTCCCTGTGCCCTCCACATATTCCTTCCCTCCCCCATAGATAACATTAATAACATATATTTAAAAACTAGTTATCTATCAATAAAAATAAATAAAAACAATGCATTTCTAAATGCCAAAGAGATTCTACCTTTTAAACAATAATCACAAAATGCTTTGAAGTGAATAGCGTTGCTACGTGTTTCATTTAAGACCTTTCCTCCAATAATTTCTGAGTTTTCAGAGTCATTTCCAAGAAGAGAGGTGATTTACCCATTTAATGGATAAAGCAATAGGAAAAGAGGAAGGAATTTTTCCAAGAGCTCATGGCACATTCAGAGATATTTCCCACCGGCCACTTTGTGGGCACTGATCTATCCAATGCGTTGGAACGCCCAAGCCAGCCTCACCCCGAGATATTCTCAGACTCTAAGTCTGAATCAGGGCCCAAGCAAGTATGTTTTTGCAAAGCTCCCCAGGTGATTCTGAGTGGCAGCCCGATGGATAAACCACTAGTATAAACCAGTCACACCCAGTCAGGCTTCTCTTTGAGAATCCCCAAGTAATTTGTTGCTGTGGCCAACAAATCTTGCAACCAAAGCTCAGGAGAATAAGGAACATGACCTTGTTTTTCTGTAATACAACTTAATCTCTAGTCTAATCTCTCATAGCTCCGAGAAGAGACACTAAATCTTGGCCAGAGTGAGGACCCCTCCCCAACCTCGCTTCCCCAAAATGCATGTAAGCCCCCAGGAGCCCCCAGAGGTGGGGCTAGAGGCAGATTTGATTCTCGCTGTCCCCTGGCCACTTCCAAACACCAGCACAATTCGAACAGAGCCTCTTAAAAGATACCTGGTCTCTGGTCCGTCCCCAGTCCCCAAGTTCTAAAAATCAGCCAGTTACCATGGCAGCTGCTGCCCAGTCGAAACGTTCCCATTTATAGAAACTGGCTGAAAACATTTGAATCTGATGGGATCTGGTCACTGACTGTAGGATGTCGCTCTCCCGGTCACAAAAGCTGTTTTATCCAGAAACCCATGGACAGTGCCTAGGCTGAGAGATGGGCCCAGGCCCCGACACCAGTTCACCACGTGCCCATCAGCTAGTGTCCCACCCAGAAGACATTCCCTGCCTGCTCTTATGGCCTATTTCATCATCATCAATTCACTCACTCCACAACATCCAGCACCTTCTCTGTCGAGCAAGGCGCCGAAGAGCCATGGTGAGCCATGCTGAGTCCCCGTGGCCACCAAGGCAGTTTAGCTGGGGAAGCCAATAAGAAAGCAATGCTGTGTGATAAAAGCCATAAGAGTGGAAGTATGGGGACCGGGGAAGGACCAGACTGGACAGGAAGTCACGTGCATCTTCCGGGTGAAACCGGAGCTGAGTCTTGAAAGATGAGCAGGCATTAGCTGGGATGGGGGTGGGAGTGTAGAGAGAGGAGAGTCTCCAGGCACGGAACAGCCCATGCAAAAGCCCAGAGGTTGAGGAATACGCCCAAACCCTTTCTGGGGATAGCTGAGATTCAAACCCAGCCACTCAGTCTTCAAACACACGCCTCTCATTGCTGCCTTACCATGTCTGCTTGTCAACGAGCTATAGGTAACTTAATAGATTAATAAAATTCCAACCTTCCCAAAGTTCATCCCCAGCCCCACATTGAAAACTGTAAGAGGATCCTCAAGGACTTGAGCAAAGATGTAGCTCCTTTGTTTATAATAGCAAGATGACCGGAAACAATACCTTCTCCCGAATAATACAGAATTGGCAAATAAAGAGGTTATAATACTTGAATGCAAAAGATGGATCACGCGTGGTTATTTAAAAAGACATCGTAGGACAGTGTGCAATGACGTGAAAAGATGGTCAACATATGTAACCAAAACTAAGCAATATGCATGGCAGGACACTTTTTTGTAATAAACAAATAATGTGTAAATATATGCAGAGGCAAAACAGTGGAAGGGAATAAACCAAAATGTTAATAATGGATAACCCAAGGGCTGTGGATGATTGTTTTTTTCTTTCTGCTTAACTGCATCTAATACAACAAATAGACATGATTTTTGCAAAAAAAAAAAAAAAAGTTGTGTGCACATGCACACACATGCATGCACTCACAGACACACACAAAACCGGCCAGAAAGGTTCCCAGGTTGGCCGGCCACTGGGAATGGGGGACCTCGGCTCCTCTGGCCACCACCCTACTTTCCAACATGTGCAGAAAACGCGGCTCTGCATGTCGCCATTAGAGTCAGGTGGGAGACCCCTAAAATGAGGCAGAACTGGAAAATTCGGGGCACACTGGCAGCCTCACCCTCCTTCTCAGCAAAGACTTCACGACACAGCACTGGAGGGGGGACTGCAGCGACACATCAGCAGGAGTGCCAGAGCATCAGGGTAATTAGCGCTCGACTTGTCAAAGGGCCTGGTGCTATTTTTAAAATCTTTCCAACACATCGGTTTCACAAAGGATTCCAGGAGTCCTTCACCCAGGGCTTTAGGAAGGCAAATGAACCAATTAGTAATTTAGTGGAAATCACCTGTCCCTAGGACTTTAGGGGACAATGTAGTCCCCTTCCCCACCCATACAGTCGCCACTGTCCTTCTGGATATGAGGGGGCAGTTAAAACAACCAGAACCTTCTCACCTGCTCCACTGTTTCTTTCACCCTGGGAGACACCTGGAGCTGCTCACCAACTTGAGCAAGTGCACTAAACCCCCGCTGCACAAGACGTAGTAGAGCACCAAGCTTCCGGGGCTGCTGCCAAACGTCAGCCAATTGCGGCCCTCAGACTAAATCCGGCCCACTTCCTGTTTCTGCAAATAAAGTTTTATTGGAACACATCCACGCACCCTCATTTACATCCTGCCTGTAGCTGCTTCTGTGCTACAAAATGGCAGAGTTGGGCAGTTGTGACAGAGATTGCATGGCCCGCAAAGCCCAGAATATTTATTATCTGGCCCTTTGCAAAAGGTGAGACTCCCACAAGCAGAACTTGAGATGAGGATCTGGGTGCAAGCAACTTACCAAGCAGATGCCGCCAGGAGAAACCAGGAAGGGAGTGAGGGAGGCAGGACAGCGGAGGAAAGGGGACCAAGCTAGGGTGTGATGGCAGGCAAGGTCCCAGCCCAGCCTGCTCCTGTGGGAGAACTTCTGGTCCCTTCTTCGGGCTCAGGTGGGCCCGAAGAAGGCAGCAGGTGTGCGCTGTGCTGTGAAAGGCAAAGCTCATAGAAGCTAAGGGGGGTGCCCAGTACCTATAACAGGGAGTCGAGGACACCTGGGCAGAGCTCTGAGAGGTTAATAAATGCTCCCATTTATCAAGCTTTCGTGGCACGAGTCACTGCGCTAAGCACTCTGCATGCTGTACAAAGTTTACTCCTTGGCATAGTCCGAGAGGTGGGAAGGGCAGGGTGCCCACCTTGCAGCTGAGAATCACATGATCGTGCAGGTGAGGTGCTCAGCCCAGCACCAACTTCCTAGAAAGCACTAAGAAGAAGGGACATGGGTCTCCAATTGGGTCGTGTGCTGAGTTTGGGGGACACAGGGATCACTGGGAAACGGGGAACATCTAACAGAGCCCCCACTGGGGTTCCTAGCAGGGGGATCAGAGCAGGAGGCTCTGCGGAGTCTGGAGGAAGGGATGGGAGTGGTCACATTCTGGCAACCTCCAGGAGCCTGGTGCAGGTAGAGTGCAGGAAGAGCAGTGGAAGGAGCAGATGGGGCCAGCGGGAAGGACGGCTGCGCAGGGGACAGATTTCAGGTGACAGACAGCCGGCGAGGGCGCTACACTGGAGCTCTGCAGGGTGGGCTGGCATGTCAGGAAGCTCGTCCTGGTTTTGGTTGGGAGCGCAACTTGGAGAACAGAGAGTGGAGCGGGTAGACAGCCTCCTGCATGCAGCTGCCCAGCCAATTAAGGCCTGAGACGAGGACGACGGAGGCCACAGTCTATGGGACGCTGAACAGCGGTAGCCCGGCTGGCCTGGCCCTGCTCTCCGCTGCGAATGACCTTCAGATCCGGGCGGCAGACAGAAGAGGACGAAGGCACGCCGCTAGCGGAAGGCGACCAGCGGGCACCCAGGGCACTGGAGGCCTGCAGGGCAAGCGTCAAGGGCAACAGAGGCAGGAAGCCAGCTGTCACCTGTCCTCTGGGCCAAGCCAAGGGGGCTGGCCTCCTGGGCACTGCCTTGGGGGCGCAGTGTCCCTCCCCATTGTCCTGACTTGCTCACAGGGTCCCTGTGCTCCTGGTGCTATCAAAGGAGCCTCACAGCATCAGGGTTTAGAGTTCACATCGGGAAGGTTCTGGGAGTCGCCAGGGAGGCTCATGCTACTCATTCCCAGGTGGCTCATCCCTGAAGACTCCATTTATCTATGTCCTTTGGTGCTGGGCCCTGCAGCTGCAGCTCCCCTTTGTAATTACAATTATCTCTCCCTCCCCATGCTCCCTGCCCCCACCCCCCTGCACACACAGGCACTTTCCCCAGGTCCTCAAATTCTACCACTCAGCTTCATTCCTTTGGTCCAACTCCCGGGAGGAGGAGGGTGAGATCCATTACGTCACCAACACCTCTGTGTGACCTCATTAATCACATTCTTCCCTGTGCATGTGCCAGGCGCTAAAGCGCCGAGCATGCAGGGAAAGCTTACCCAGAGGGGTGGCATTTCAGAGGGGGAGTGGCTGGAAACATCGGGCAAGCAACTTTCCTTCTACCCAATCTCGGTCATGCTGCTCTTCGTTGGAGGCCAGCAGATTTTCTGTGAAAATGACCAGACAGTAAACATTTTCAGCCTTGCGGGCGATCGAGTCTTCTGTCGCAAGCACTCAGCTCTGCCACTGTAGTGCAAAACAGCCCCAGACAATAGTAAGGAGATGAGTGTTGTGTTCCAATAAAACTTCATTCGCGGACGCTGAAAAATTGAATGTCTTATCATTGTCACAAAAATAGTATTCCTCTTTTAATTGTTTCCAAGCGCTCACAAACATAAAAGCTTGGTTTGCAGACCACACAAACGCAGGCGTGGCCGGACGGGCCTGGGAGCTGTGGGGTTTGTCGACCCCGGATCCCTTCCCTTCCTGTCCCAATGCCTGTTCCACCAGGACCAGCCCGTCGTCTGTCACTGCTGTGCATGTCCTTGTCCTGCGTGCTCCGTCCGTGATCCCTGGGGACCTGCCTTCAAGTGTGGAGGTGACAACAGGGTGACAAATGGGCGGGCGCTGCTGCAGACCAGTGGCCTTGGGGTGCATGCCAGGTGACTGAGCAGCGAGCCCAGGTGGCTTCCATCTGCTCACCCCTCCCAGCCCACGTCTGATATGTCAGGGGCCGTGGGCTCATCTCCACACTTCTGGGACACTCATAGGCGCCTCTCCCGAGTTACCAACGGTATTAGTTGTTGTCCTCACCATCTGTCTTTAGACAGATCATTTCAATTAATAAAAGTAACAGTACTCACTTCTCACTGCGAGCTTGGCCTGTGCCAGGCGCCATGCAAACTCTCTGTGGCTGCTGCTCACTCAGTGGGCCGGGATCCACGTGAAGCACTTTACATGCAGTGGCACTCAAGGACCTGGAGGTTCAGCACTATTAATATTATTATCTTCGTTTTCTGGACAGGAAAGCAGAGGCTGGAGAATTTACCTACACTCTGAAGCCAGGTTCTGTCTTCCTGGGCGCCCCCAGCCCCTGCCTAGCTCACAGCCACCCTGCAAGACTGCACGGGGACCCCACTTCCTCACATGCAGAAATAGAAACCCCGAGAACTAAAGTCCTGGTCCAAGTGCATACATCTGCTAGCCGGTGGTGGGTGCACACTTCGCTGGCACATCAGTGACACGCACAGACGCTGGCGCCACCCAGCCCTCACGTGAAAACGCACACGTTTCTAGAAGCTTCAGAAACTGCGGTCCTGCACTGAAGGTTTGGATCTCCAACAAATGGTGAGAGGCGAATTTTAGCCTGGGAGCGTGTCTCAGGTTGGATCTAACAGCAGAGCCTGAGGTGGGGCGTCTGGTGCAGGTGGGCTAGTGTGGGAGGGCTCCCAGGGGGCCCTGCCAAAAGCGAGGGGACAAGGCGGGGGAGGGGAAGAAGCCAAGCGAAGGTGCAGGTTGCACTGACGTCTGGCCCCAGCCTCTTCCCACAGGGGGCTCTGGAGCATGGATGGTACCACAGCAGTCTCACCTGAGGCATGGGGCCGGCCTCTCTACCCGTCACCTGTCAGTCATTGGCTGTCCCGTGGGGTGGGGGTGGAGGAGCATCTCTGGGCGAGGTGACAGTTCTGCAGAGAATGGTGCAGGCTTGAGCCTTAGCACCCGGCACGCACAGCCGCTGGGGAATAAGGCACTGCTATTAGAGGGGACCTCAGCTCGGAGCGCCATTGGCATCTGCCATGAGCAGGAGACCCAGGCGGCCCAGACTCCTGCAAAACCACCCGCCCTTCCCTCCCCCACCTTCTCTCTCGTTACCCTCCCGTCCTGGCGGGGCTGGGCTGCGCTAGGCCCAGGCTTCTGGCTCCTGTGTCAGGCCATCAGCAATCACAGCCGGGTCTGATGACTCCAGGAAGGGCCCAGTTTGGTCTCTTCCGGCCCCGGCCTGCTCGCCTGACCCCCTTGCCGTGGCTGCGGCGAGGGGAATCCCACTGACGCGCTCGGGAAGGCAGCTCCTGCCACCAGACGGTGCCGCGGCCACCAGCAGGGCCAGCAGCTGCCTCCGGAGGGCAGCCCACGTGGGCTTGTTGCCCGGCACTCGACTGCCAGGAGCTGAGCGGCCAGGTCTGTGCACCAGGTTGTTTCTAGAGCTTTCCAGAGAAGTTCCTGAACTCCATAAGCAAAAGCATCCACAACCTCTTCCACTCTTCTGCCCCCTGTTCATTCCTTGATCCATTCAGCAGTCATTCTCGGAGTGCACGTGGGCCGCGGACCGTGGTGCGAGCTGGGGAAGCAATGAGTGACATAGACATGGTGCCCACTTGCGCTCTAGCGGGGCAGATGACCAAGACTGGGTGCAGCAGGGGCGCTCAGACAGGCGTGCGAGGAAAATGCAGTTCTTCTGTTTTCCTGGAACTGGTCTGATCTTCCTCGTGTGCCCCACCCTGCTGGGAAGAGGGGCTGGAGGTGAAGAACCTTTTAAACTTGCCAGTTTATGGTGCTTGCCAATATGTCTGTCTCAGGAGGAGCCACTTTCGGCTTTGGTGACATCGGCGACCCAGGACTGGGGTAAGCGCAAGGCCATGGACGCCTTCAGCTTTGGAGCCACCAAACACCTCTACCCTGCGTGGCCGCTGGGCACGAACGCAGTGGGAGGTGAGCTTGGAGATGGCCCCAGAGGGCCCCAGCGGCAAAGAGTGGCCGAGTGTGGGAGTCCCAGCCCTGTGCAGTCTCCACACCCAGCCATTCCCAGACTCACCCCTCCAGCCCAGACCTCTCTCCTCCAAGCTCTGGGTCCACGAATCCACCTTCTGCTCAATGTCTTCCCTTAGATCGTGTGTTAGTCAGCCAGACTTCTACGACAAGTATACTATGGACCGGGTGGCTTACACAACAGAAATTTATTTCTCCTGATTCAAGTCCAAGATGAAGGGGCCAGCAGATCTGGCGTCCGGTGAGGACCCGAGTCCTGATTTGCAGATTGCTGTCTTCTTGTGGCGCTCACGTGGCAGAGGGAGTGTCTCCTCCTTTTGACAAGGGCATCGTCCTATGTGTGAGGGCCCCACCCCCTCACGACCTAATCACCTCCCAAAGGCCCCACGTCCACCTGCCATCGCACTGGGGGGCAGGCTCCAACACGTGAACCATGAAGGGACACAAATACTTAGTCCAGAGCAGATTGACTCAACGATAACTCCAACTCAACACACCCACCAATGGGGGTATCCCTCCCAAATCAGTTCCTCCACCATGGAGCCTTGGGGCTTGGCCTTTAAATCCCAGGAATGCTCACCCAGTACTTTCACTTTCTCCCAGTACTTTCACTCTCAGATAAGGTGGGATTGTGTGGACACTCTGTTTTCATGTACACATTCAAGCGTGTGGTTTGGTCAATGTCTGCCTCCTCCGCTAGACTTGAAACTCCTGAAGGCTGGAATCATTTCTTTCTTGCTAACCATTGAGTCCCTAGGGCCTAGTACAGTGCCTGGCACAAAGGAGATGGTGAATCAATTTTTTTTTTTTTTGGACAGCATGAATGAATAAAACTTTAAATGAATTTGTGAGTGAATGAAATGCAGCCCTCATCTCTTAGTGTCTCGTTCCAACATCCCTGCTACATTCTGGGGAGTCCGGGAAGTGGGACACTGCCCCTCTAAGGGACACTTTTCCCATCTTTGGTAAGAGGATCCAAATTCCAGGCCACCTGGAAGTCCCGTTCTGGCAGGAAATAGAGCAAATTGTTTGCAAATCCAGCCCAGGCAGGGCTCCCTGCCAGGTCCCCAAGCAGAGCCAAGCCTGCCTCATACGGACACCCTGCAGATTTGGAATCATTTGCCGCTATGATTCCTTTTGTCCTCCTTGCCCGAGTCTTGTCTTTCTCTTTCCCTCCACCTCCCTTCTTTAGAGATCCCGTCTCAGCTCATGGAGAGAAATTACCAGCTTCCAGCTCAGCTCAGAAGAGACTAAGGGACTCATCTAGATTTTCAGAGCAGATTGGTAGATCTAGAACCTGGCTATTCTGAGACCCCACTCAGTAATAAAGAGAACAAAAGCAGCCACCACCCATCTCCTCTGTGCCAGCCACTGTGCTAAGTAACTTACATCACCGTTTTATTGAATCCTAACAATCCTTCTACGTAGGTGCTATAAGGGTCCTCATCTGATAGCAGAAGAAACTAAAGCTTGGAGAATTGAGACAGCACCTAGAATTCATGTACTAGATTAGGGATCAGTAAACTCTGTTGCACAGGCCAAAGCCAGCCCACCATATGTTTTTTTTAAAAGAAGCGTACTGAAACAGTCATGTTCCTTGGTTTAAGTATCTTCTATGGCTGTTTTTATGCTAAACAGTAGGTTGAATACTACAGACAGAGAATCTATGGCCTACAAAGCCAAAAACATGGACTATCTGGCTGTTATTTGAATAGCGTGGCTTAAAAACGACGAGCCAGGTCGGGTGCGGTGACTCACGCCTGTAATCCTAGCACTCTGGGAGGCCGAGGCGGGCAGATTGCTCCAGGTCAGGAGTTCGAAACCAGCCTAAGCAAGAGTGAGACCCCGTCTCTACCATAAATAGAAAGAAATTAATTGGCCAACTAATATATATAGAAAAAATTAGCCGGGCATGGTGGCGCATGCCTGTAGTCCCAGCTACTCGGGAGGCTGAGGCAGGAGGATCGCTTGAGCCCAGGAGATTGAAGTTGCTGTGAGCTAGGCTGACGCCACGGCACTCACTCTAGCCTAGGCAACAAAGTGAGACAATGACTCAAAAAAAAAAAAAAAAAAAAGGACAAGGCAGACCAATCAGATTCTTTCCTTGGGACAGGGAAACAGGGAGGCCACAGCCATTAGGGCGAATGGAAGGGTGAGAGTATTGAGGACAAGTTGGGGCTGGTGACTATGAAAGGCAAGGTTGTAAGGACACTTGCTGGGAGGGAGAGAAGAAAAAGGAGGAGCTGAGCACGTGGAGTCAGAATCTGTGAAGGAGTGGCCCGGTGCTCTAAGATGAAGAGGGAGAAAGGTTAGGCTCCCAAAGGTTGCCCAGTTCCAGCTCCCATGAGCACAACTGTCCTCTTTGTGGATCATCAGTTAGGCCTTTTTTTGGTTGCAAATAAAAGAAAGCCTTCCATAAATGACCTTAAACACTAATGGGTATATGTTGATTCATATAACTGAAAAGCGCAAAGGGACTTCAGGCTTAGCTTGATCCAGCAGTTCCAATGATGTCACCCGTGACCTGACTTCTTACAGTCCCTCTGCCCCACTTTTCTAATATCAGCTTTATCCTCAGCCTCCCTTCTGTACCTTTTCACATCTCTGGCCACTCTGGACTCTTCACTCATGGTGTCAAGAAGGCTGCAGCAATTCCAGCCCTCACAGCTCCATACCAGACTGTCTGCAAATAGGGAGTTCCAGGAGCTCCTTCACATTCTGGAATATGAGCATTCATTGCCTCTACCTGAACCAACTGCTTTGGCCGGTTGGATGGGGGTGGTCTGCACTCATGGGATTAGACTCCCCATCACTTGCTTGCAGTTTTCTCTATTGGAGTAACATTTGAATGTCCCAAGCCCTGCATCACCCTTTACATACAGGAATAATGACCTCCCTTAATGCTCCCAAAGCCTACAGGGCAGTTACTAAGATTATCCCCATTTTACCAATGAGGAAATCAAAGCTCAGAGAGGGTGGACACCTAGCCCAGGGTCACACAGCCAACATGGGGCACAACTGCCGATGCGCAGCAGATCTAGTTGCTGAAAGGGGCCTGTGAGATTCTGGAGGCTGAGCCCTCACGTGTGCCCCTGCCTGTTGGGGGAGGGTCACTCAACAGCCCCCAGCCACTGCCATTCCACCTCCTGTTGCCACCATGGTGACCCGAACCCTTTGCGCGGAGGGAGTCGTCCACGGATCCCAAGCTTCAGACCGAGTTATTCAAAAGTCCTGCTCCCACCTCTGGGTTCCTCTGGCTTCTCTATTCTCCCCACCGCCCCAACCCGTTGCCATGGAAACTGCCGGGCTCCTGCATCCCTTTCATCCTCCTTTCTGGGAAGCAAGGCCAGCTCTCTGGCGCTCTGATAGTTAGGCCTGACCATTATAAAGACCAAAGAAGCCATATCCGAAAGAAACGTTTCCAGGCAGAGGGAGGAACCAGGTCGGATTTCTTCTTTTTTTTTCTCTGATGTGCTCCAAAATAACACCAGGTGCTCCGCGGAGCTCTGCCAATTACTGCGGCCCAGTGGATGCTGGCTGGAAAGTTGTTTGTCATCTGTTCTCTGGCATCTCACCATCTCACGGTCACCGGGCCTCCCTCCCTTCTTGGGAGAGGGATTCTGGGGGCCCGGGGCGGAGGGCCAGCGTCGGGCAAGTCCCCCTGCCAAACCTCGGTGCCGATCGCCACGCTCGGGCTGTGGACGCAAAAGTGAGGGCAGTTCTCAACCTGCTCTTCTGGAGAAGGAGGAAGCAGCCATCAGGGCATCCCGGGAACAGTGGACGTGGCATCTCTCCTCGGAGGGGCCCCGTGGCTCCCACGGCCAGGGCCCGGGAAGAACTTTATACATAGTGCCCAGGAGCTCGGCACCTGGTCCCCAAAGGGCTCCAAACTCAGGGAGACTGGAGGTGCCAACGTGTTCCCGATTGGTTCTAGGTCTCGGCTGGGTGTTAATCTCCCTGGGCCTTGGTTTTCTTATCTTTAGAATGGGCTCTGCTCTTGCATTGCACATCTCAGAGGCTGGCTGTGAGGACCAAACAAAGCAAGCTACACGAAAGCCCTCTGCAAAGGCATTTAAAGGTATCCTCGTGGTCACCACGACCACCACCACCACCATCATCATCATCATTGTAATAAAACTTGAGGAGCAGTCCTGGAGGGAGAGCAAAACCTCAGACACGGAAAAATACTGACGAGGGCCCCAATTCATGGAGATGTAAGCACGTCCCCGCTTTAGAACGCACTCAACTGCCCCTTGACAATTTCTCCATCTGAGGCCATGTTTTCCCTGACATCCAGTTATCTAAACTTGGTCCAGTCCCTGAGACAGCTCCTCCTTGAGTGGATAGGAGGAGACTGTCCTACCTACTGGGTCACCTGTGGGTTGCAGGAGCATCCTGGGCTCTGGCCGCCACTGCTGGTCCCGGATGAGCTAGACAGCCTCCGCGCAGCAGAGTTAAGTTTTCCTGGAACAGTTTTCAGCTCCATCCTAGCGTCCTCAAACACCCAGGACATCTTAAACACCCTCGGGTTTAGGCTTAGGCACCTCCTTTAAACCCCACGCACCTGTTCCAGGAGCCACAGTGACCTCCAAGGGCTGCATAGAACCGTGGTGGCTGCTGTCTTCCTTCTAGACAGAGGATAGGACAGTCGTGGCTGTTCCCACAGGTCTTCAGACAGCCCTAAGTCAGAAGCAAGCTCCTGTCCTTCTTCTCCTGGGGCCCAAACTCCAGAATTCTGTCCATTTGGGCGCCAGGTGACTCACCAGCGCCCCCTTACTGCAGGCATCCTGGAGGGGTTTTCTGGAAGCCCCCCCCCAACAAGACAGCGCTTCAGGGGAGCCACAATTGCTGCACCCCCCAACCAAGCCAAGACTCCTCCCTCTCTTCCCAACCCAGCCCACCCCTGTGATAGTCCATGTCCTTGGCTGGCAGTGGCAGGGACAAGCTGAGCGAGTCACACAGATAGGAGGTGTCTGGCTCTTGTGTTTCCAGGTGTGGCCTAAGTGCCACTATTTAAGAACAAGAAAAATTCCTTCTAACTAACATTCGGTGTTAGTAATGAGACCCACCTCTTAATTAGGCACTTACCGGGGTTCTTGCTAGCTAACCCCTTGATTAAGTTATTTTGGTTCCTCACGCTGACTTTGTGAGATGAGTATTATTGCTACCTTGACTTTGACTAAGGTTCAAAGAGGCGAAGTAGCTTGCCCAAGGCTGCCCAACCAGCAAGCGGGTTTTGAACACATATCCCTCTGCCTCCAGGGCAGAAACTTAGAACTCCTACATGTGACTGCTTCTCTGTAGGACTCAATTTGAGGACAAAGGACAAAGGGAGTTGCTTGGGCTCTTCTGTCCTCCATGGGCATGCATCTGGGAGAGCCAGAGGTGAGTTTTCTCACCCCACAGATCCGGGGCAGGGGAGGGGGTGGAAGGTGAGTCCAAAGAGCCTGAATGACAGGTGTCAGAGCTGCCAGGCTGAGCCTGGCCACTTGAAAGGCTGTACTCACAGTGGTTAAGAGCTTGTGTTTGGAGACAGCATTTGTCTTGGCCTCACTTTGGGGTCAACCCCTCCAGGAGCCATTGGCTACCCCAGGTGAGGGACACTGACCAAGATGTTGCTTGCCAAGCCAACCACTGATCACTGGCTCCATGAAGGTTAGTGGGAGCTCTAACTCATTCAATCCTCATAACAATTCTAAGGATGCCCATTTTGCAGAAGAGAACAACTGAGGCACAGACAGGTTGTATAACTTGTCCAATGGCGACACAGCTTACTCTTGGATTCAGACCCAAGCAGCCTGATTCCAGAGTGCCTGCTCTTAACCACTGAGCCATCCTGCCTCCCTGGAGGCAGGGCAAGAGACCCAATGGCTCTGGTGAATTTCTCAGCCCAGACTCCCCTTTGGCATCAAGGCACAAGGGGACATCCGAAGCGAGCTTTTCGTGACTCCTCTCTCCTGGTCTGTTCCTGCAGGTAACTCTCAACACATTTGACCTGGGTAAAAAACAAGTGATTTTGGAACCTGCCCTCAGTACTGCCCCTTGGAGGCTCACTCTGGCCTCACCCCTCCCCCTAAGGGACCACTGTCCCCCTCTCCCCTAGTGACCTCCTTTCGGTTCTCACCTCCTTCCCTTTCGCTCTCCCCTTGGAAGGCAGCTCAGCTAACACTCATTAGCACGCGTTAATGAGCAGAGATTCATGTCTCAGTCATTTCATGGTGGAGAGGTGACAAAAGAGGGATGCTGTCATTCTGGGGTTACAGTGTATGCAAGGCCAGAACAGAACCCCCCCCTCCCAGGGCTGCGATCACCAGCCAGGATGCGGAGGGCGCCCACTGCCCTGCTTGGGGAGTCCCTGTCCACTGTCCTCAGGACGTGCTCTCAGTAGCTGCTTCTGCCCAGCTGAGAACGTGGCTAAGTCCAGAGCTGGACGGTGTTCTCCGCCCACCAAGTGGGCACATTCCCACGATGTCCCTAGGTGGACGAGGTTAAGACCTAGTCGGGGACGATCCAATTCTGCCACTCCCTGGCCAAATCTCTAAAAGCCCCTAGAGCATGTCCAAGGCGAGCCAAGTACCAGAGATGGGGGAGGCTCGCGGGGGGAAGGACATACCTAGACGGAACAGCCGGTGCAAGCCCCTCCCCCGCCCCACCTGAGCACTCCCTGGGGATGCTGATTCCAGCTGCTCCCCTCCAAAGCCTGGCGAACGCGTGGCCTCTCCGCGAGTCTGGGCTCCAGCAAGTGGCCATGCGCATGAGCATGGAAAGAGTTCTGGGTTCAAATTCTAGCTGTGCCACTTATTCGCTGGGCAAGTCATCAAATCATTTTAAGCCTCAAGCCTCTCATCGGAAAAGTGGTCCTTGCTCTTCCTGCTGTGGGAGGGTCGGGAGAGAGGAGAGGCATGACAGAGACCTCGTGAGGTCCGAAGTCCGAGTGCTAAATATTTGTCAACCGCGTATGAGCATTGCTATGCGTGTTGTCGCTACTGATACTATTATTGCAACTGCTAGCAGTAAGACGCGGTGGCTGCACCCGAGACGGTCAGAGGGAAGGCGAGGGCAGCCTCTGTCCCATTTTCTCCAAAGAGGCTCCAGTGTCCCGGCCCGGGCGCCGAGCAGCGCTGGCCTCCCCGGGGACCCAGGCCGAGCCCCTGGCCGCCGCCCCCGCCGCGCCGCGCCCCGGCCGGATTCCCTGAGCGCGCGCGCCCCCTGCCGGCGGCCGGGCGCGGGCGCAGGCGCGGCGCGTATATAAGGGCGGCGTGGCGCGGGCAGGGAGCCCAGCCCGAGCAGAGCCGGCGCCGAGCGCGAGCGAGCGCGGTGCTGCCAGAGGTCCCCGAGCCGCTCGCCATGGCTGGCCCGCAGCAGCAGCCCCCTTACCTGCACCTGGCCGAGCTGACGGCGTCGCAGTTCCTGGAGATCTGGAAGCACTTTGACGCAGACGGTCAGTAAAGCTCCCAACTTCTGTGCCCATCGGCGCCCAGGGGACCTGCGGTGGAGGGGCAGGGGGCATTGCTGGATGCGGGCAGGTGGACGTTTGACCCCCACGGTGTGTGTTCTGGTCGCAGAGCCAGGAGTCGGGAGAGGGGGGGATCTCGAGTTTGGGAGACATCCGGCTGCCTCTGGTGACAAGTGCCAGTAACTTTCTTCCCTGGCGTAGACGACACAGAGCCCACCCGCTTTTGCAGCCTAATTCTGGGCAAGTTGGCGCTTCCCCAGAGAGGAGGCCTGAGCTGGAGATGCTCCCCAAGATTCCCCCTGCCGTGTCCCCACCTCTCCCTGCAGGGTAACTCCTGCCTTCCGCTGCTGCAGCCACAGGTCTCAGAAGCCCACTCATTTCTTCCCCTTTTATGGAGTGCCCCGTCAGCCCCGTCACCATTCTGGAGGCTGGGACACGCTGCGGGATCCTGGAGGGAAACCCTCAGCCACCCGGGCCTGGGTGGCAGGGAGCAGGAGTGGAGACCGGCATGTGGGACCCTGAACACCCTCCTGGGCCTCCTTGGTCCATGTGCCATTCCCCACGGTCATGTGGGCTTCCCGGCCACAGTGGGAGTGGGTGTGGCGGGCTCAGGATTAAGGCTGGCCCCCCACCTGCTCCCTGATGGTGATCATCTGCCTCAGGGTGCTTTTGATCACTCCCTGGGGGCGGGGGAGATAATCTTCAATGCCTCGGTGACCAACTCTTTGCTCTGCGTGGTCTTGACATTGACTCACCCCAAAATCAAGGGCCAGACTGAATGGCCTTTGGAGGTAGCACCCAGCACTGGCATCCAAAGGGTCTGTGGTGGCCTGACTTCAGTATAAAGGGTGGACCAACCCCCCCCCCCTTAGAGGTTTATAACATTACTAGACTTTTCCTCTATCACTCCAGAAAATACAAGTGAGCTGACTTCCGTCTCTGAGGTTCTAAAATGGGCATCCAAAATGCTCTGGCATCTCAGCCCCGTTGGCAGGGTGGTGGCTCGGGTGTTTATCCTGGGGTTGAGAGCAAGGGGGCTGGGAAACAGAGGGAATATCAGATGGTGGCTCACTCCATTCTTCCTCCCTCACCTCAGGGAGGTGGCTAATCAGAGATCTTCTGCCCAGAGTGCCATGGGGAGGCAGGGGTTAATGACTGGGGATGCTAATGGGGAAATCTGGTTTCCTTGGAGCCCACTGAGAAAGCTGGAGGGACAGAGGACTGGGCATCTGAATACCTGGCTTGGGACTGTGATAAGTCAGTGAATTACTGAAGGAGGTGGGAATGTTGTTAAATCTGTAAAATGGAGCCAAGAAGGGGTTGTATTTCTAATCCCCAGCTCGTGCCATAAAACTCCCTTGGCAAAAACGGCTATAATAGGTTTGCAGCCTCTTAGTATTCCAGATGACATGCACATTCCCTAAGGATGCTCCTGCCAGTTTATCTGCACCAGAGACTTGCCTGATTCAAGGAAAGTTACCAGGCGGCCAAGGTTATACCATTGGCCTTCTGCTAGATGAGTCAGCTATAAACAGAGGACTCCACACTTCTACTTTTCCCCGCACTCCTGTGAACAACCAATAGCGCTCTCAATAAGCATGCAGATCCTTACGTTTATCCGAGACACTGTACTTTTCTAAACACAACTGCACCCTCCTGAGTCCCGCACTGTGGTGCTGCTGGGTGCACCACGACTTCCCTTGTGCAGATGAGGAAACAGACGCAGGGAGTGACTTAGCCGAGGTCGTGTAGCAAGCTAGTGGCCAGGCTGGTTCCCGGCCAGCGCTATTTCCTTACTTCGGTTTCTGGACACCTTCTTGGGTTGGAAGAGGGTTTTTTCCCCCCACGATGATAGGTGTAAGTCTCCCTCCCATTTGTCCAGAAGAGCCCCCAACCCAGCCTGTGAGCTGATGGGCACTTCCTTTTATCTTGGAAAGGTGGGTCCTTGGCTCGGCTGGAATATAGCTCAGCTACCACTCAACCCAAGAGTCTTTAAAGCCCTCCAAAGCCATGGTGCCTGCCTAACTCCTGCTCCCGTGTGAAGGGGCAGCTTGGTGTTGGCTTTTTGCATCCTTGTCCTCTGGGCTTCCCATTGCCCTCTGTGGGTCCCAGCTCAGGGACGTCTCAAGGAGGGACCATGGATTAAATGCCAGACATGGAAGAGAGGCGATTGGGGAAAATCCTTATACAGCCAAACTGAATTCCACGCAAGGATCCAGAATTCAGCTTCAGGCCATCTTGCTCTGTTCCTTCACTCCTGACTGCCCTCGTTGCCTAGCCCTCCCCTCCCGAGCACCCAACGCCTGCAGGTGACCCAACGCCTCTCCACCTGAGCTGCTCTCGGCCCCATCTGGGCCTCTGTCCTGCCAACTCTAGCTTCTGTTTTCA